GTAAACGCTCACCAGTTTCTCTGTTGTCAATCCCACAATCCCTCTCGCGAGCCTGTTGCTCAGCTCCCCTAGAGAACAGATTGAAAACGCCTATTCAGCTCCACACCAGTGGACATGTACGGGATGTCATTTCACTTTGAGGTACAAAAATCGAACCTCTCCAAAATGGCAAACCAATGATGCAAGACCATCACAAAGACAAGTTCTAATAAAAGAGATATTGAACAGGCAGCGGTGCCGTTATAAAAACATTAGGGTGATAAAAGCAAGGGCTTGGTGGTTGGATAAAAGTAGCAAAGTATAAATCATTGCTTTATGAGACGCGCCAGATTCCTTGGCACTGGCGGGGATTAGGGGATGATGGGTTGTTTTCCACTGTGGTCATCTGTCTGTGAGCTGGTTATTGTAGGCTGAGCGGAATCCTACGCTGTTGCTATTGTCAGGGCGATAACTCGCTCATGATCTGACTCTTAAATTCTGGAAGTGACTCAGACTCCCTGTCTTCCATGGCTTAGACTTCCTGTAGAACCTGCTTTACAACATCAACCACCCCACCGTCAGCCTAGAGTGGACCCCGCCAGCCGACACGGGTGGCCGTAACGACGTGACGTACCGGATTATATGCCGCCGCTGCACCTGGGAGCCAGAAGAGTGCTTTCCTTGCGGGAGCAATGTTGGCTACTTGCCACAGCAGAGTGGATTAATGGACACCTACGTCACCATCGCTGACCTGTTAGCTCATGCAAACTACACCTTTGAGGTTGAGGCTGTGAACGGCGTGTCTGACCTTAGCCGTACCCAGCGACTGTTTGCAGCCGTCAGCATCGCGACCAGCCAAGCAGGTAAGAGGTTTGCACTTCTGTGGCAATTCGACTGCAGATCTAGCAGGTTTATAGATGAATATAACCAAATCTGGATTTTAAATATGTATATTTGCAGCATTTTGGTTTTTGACTCCATTGTGTTGTGCTTTGGATGCATTTTTTACGCGGCCAACAATTCATTAAAAATGTTTTTTTTTATTGGTCTTATGGAGTATTCTAATTTGTTGAGATAGTGAGTTGGTGGGTTTTTGTTAAATGTGAGCCAAAATCATCACAATTAAAAGAACCAAAGACTTAAACTACTTCAGTCTGTGTGCATTGAATTTATTTAATACACGAGTTTCACAATTTGAGTTGAATTACTGAAATAAATGAACTTTTCCACGACATTCTAATTTATTGAGATGCACCTGTATAATCTCAAGCCTGTATAATTTCCGACTGCTGCATTCACGTTTCTGTACTTACCGCCATTGGGATAATTTAACAAATTATCTGGCAACCGTTTTCCTGCAGTTCATAAATTGTGGTTTTCTGGCGACAATACAGTGGTGAACAGCAACAGATCATAAATAATAGAAGTCACGCACAAGAATACCTCTTCCGTTTCCCCTTTAGTTTTTTATTGTCTGCTAGAAGAACCACTACCTTTAAATATCACTACAGTCGCCATGGTTGACATTTCCGCAAGACTCTTTGTTGAATTCTTGATAAATGATTTGAGCTTTCACTTTATCCCCTGAAATTAAATGGGTGGCAAATGCTTGCATTGGTGCTGAAGTCATGGCCACAAACATTATTAGCTCGACGAGTGATTGCCTGTCTTTGGCTCTCCCTCTTTCTCTCATGCTTACTCTCTTGGGAGCTGGCCATCATTTAAGAGCTGTTTCTGAGACTGCACATGCTAGAGAAATGCATGTGTTTTAATGAACTATTTTTTATGGATCTGCAAAACAAGATTTCTCTTTCATGCCCAAGCATCCATGAAATACAATTTGCCTTCAAATGCATACTGGTTCTGGTCATTATCAAGAGGTTAGTAGACAGTGATAGCTTAGCACCACACTTCAGCAACTAGCGCATAGACTGTGTTGTTGTACATGCACACATACAAACTAATACAGTATTTGACTGTTTTGCTGTGAGTCTTTGTAGTTTGGAAAATATATCTAAGGATGGTCACAGTGGGTGATAATATATAATATTTTTATCTAGGCATATATGTTGAGAAAAAAATATAAAACACACACACACACACACAAAAACACATGTAGGCATATATACAATATATATATATATAT